TATAAACTTCTGCTATTAAAGTGAATTAATGATAATTTGTTTTCAGTCTTGACATTGCTGTTAAACTGCTCATCCGTGTAATACTTGCAGTTATTTTCAGAGTTCTTAAAAAAGTTTTTTTTCCAGGGTCAAAATCATCGTCCGATTCATGATAATGTTGTTCAGTGTCTCCAATTGTGTTCAATTCCAGATCCAGTCCCTCAAAAACTATTAACCTCTGTAGCAAATCACTGGCCTCATTCCGTACGTGGGTCATACTTGTTGTTGGTTCCTGCTAATAGTTCCAACGCTCATCTGCCATGTGGGGGTGGGGCTATGCCAACACACCAAAACATTCAGTTCATTATTTTATCATAACTGAACATGGAACTGAAACAACTGGTCAACTAATCAGTCTGTTGATCGACAGAAAAAGAGTCAACAAGTATGAAATCAACTCTTTGGATCATTCATTAAATGCCCAGTCCCTTTTAAAACTAAAATATATCAACCATTACAAGTAATAATTTTTTTCCATAAGCACTGAATTGACAAGTACTTTTTCAATTAATCAACTGTTCATTTAGTCCAAGAAAGATTAAATCATAGTACAAACATGCTCATGACAACACCCACGGTAATGTCCTGTTTTGTTTGATCAAAAGTCTGAAACACAAAGCTTACAACAATATGAAATGGTGCAAAGCAGCAAATTAGTCCATTTGAGAAGCTGGAAACAGTGAACACTTGGCATCTTTTCACTAGTTTTGCTTGCAAAATGACTGAAAGACATAATCAGTTATTGAAATACTGACACATGATGTAACGGCACAGGCTGCCAACAGCAGCTTCTTTGGTACTGTGTTTCTTTCAGTGACTGGAAGAAAGTGGCCAAACTGCTGCAGAGATACAGTTCACTTAGAGAGAGGGTGATGATGGAGTGTCGTGTTACATATACATCCTTTTCTCTTCTGAAAATGCCTGTTCAAACACTGAGCTTGGCTTGTGGATGTAACAATTGATGTCGTTCCTGTGCAGCAACCTCTATATCTAAACTTGGTTCAACACAAGACAGTCACTTTGCCTCAGACGATCTCTGTTTGTCAGGACCAGTGTAAGAAAAGCACAGGCTTGCACTCCGCTAGAGATGAAACCGTTACTAACCTCCAGCCTCCCTGCAGGCCTACCCCCATTGTTCTCTATGAACAATGACTCCACTGTCCTGGGGCAGACCTGGGCTGACTACTAAACAACCAATATCTGTTTTCATGTAAAATAGTACACACTAGGCCATGAGATTCACAGTAACAAAAACAAAGCCTGTAGGGTGACTAGGCCTCAAAATGTGTTTGGAGATAGATTAATAAAGTGTATGGTTAGAAAATGTGACAAAATAAAAACCATCAGAAAATGCTATTACTCTGCACCACATACACATATTGTAATGATTTATTAACAGTGGAAGAAGAGAACCACAGAGACACTCTCATCATAAATTTATGTCAGCTAGTTTAGACACACCTTAACCAGCTGGAAGTCAGGTTAAACAGCATTAAAGTGTGGCCCAAGATGAACTCCCTTTAGCCAAAATACTGATCACAGAATGTGCACTCATGGAGGTGTTATCCTTACCTTAGTGACCTCATACTGTACATCCCTTAGTAGGATTGTTTAACGTTAGTTGCGTTGTACAGACACCAAATCGGCGGGGAGATGTCTAGCAAGATATTGAATAGTGACGTTTCCTTTATATAAAGCTCATCTTGGATGAAGTTTGGCTAATTCACACCAATAGATTGTGTCTTGTTTTGCCGCAACATCGTTAGCTAACAGTCACATGAAGCCTACGGGTGATTGCAGCTTAATAGATAAGAGTTAGGCCTTAGCCTTACTGTTTAAAGTCGGGTGAATGTATGACCAGTGGTCTGCACTTTACATAATAACACTAACTTACTATTCTTTGATTAAATTTGTGTGGTTAACAATATGAAACATCTCACCCACGTCAGGCAGAGTGCACCTGGTTGACTGTAACATCGATGCAACCCCTTGTGCTGGCTAACCTTATCACTGGTAGCTAGTTGTCGACGCTGCCAGCGACGGGTTACTGTGGTTGTCAATGTGAATATGTAAGTAAAACGATTCCAAACCATAGTACATATCGAAACGAAAACTGTTACCGATTATTTGCTGTATTTTGTTTTTGACCTCCGCAACCCGTAATCTGAGCTCTCCAGTTAAACACTTGATCTAATAACGCGGCTATTCATTAAGGGTTAAGAAAAACTCTAGTTGAATCACACACCTGTGAGGTATTACACTGAAACATGTATTAAGTTATGAAAATGTTATTAAGATAGATATTTACCTGAGCTGATGGTCTCTGGTCAATCCTCACGGGGGTCACATTACGACGGAAATAATATTCCATGACGATCCTCCTTTTTTTGCTTCCACAAGAACCCTGGCCAATGAACAACTTAGACGCGGAAACGCTTGGCCAATCAAATTGCAAAACTGGAGTCAACAGCCTGATATCCCGCCTACTTTAATGTAAATAAGTTGCTGTTGTCCAATTATCATTGACGGAGACAACCAGGTGATCCATGATTGGATAATAGGAATGACTGACATTATGTTAACCCGCTCAGACCATATTTTTCGGTCTTGAACACCAAGCAGTATTTACATTACTGTTGAGCTGAGTAAATATTTGGTACCTAAAATATGTGCTAATAATATAAGCTTTATTATTTATTAAGGTCAGCGAAGTCATTACATAAATTCTATTATTTACCACACCAACGAGATTCAAACAGGAAACATCTCTGACATCACTACAATTGATTTAATTCTCTCTGAAGCACATTAGCCTCAATTATAACTTATCCTCCACTATACAGCAGTTGCATATGTCAATCCATAACAAGTGTTGATGAGTAACTTCATATGCATGTAAAAATGTTAGAAAACTCATTTTAAACCCTTATGGAAACTACCAACAATATCAATCTCCCTTTGCAGTATTAGTTCCACATTCAAATCAGACAAACATGCACATTACAAATATTTCAAATAATAAAATCAAATGATTATCTTTGAAATACATAATTTTTATTGTGATGTGAGTGACAGGATTACAGGTCAGCAATGGGCTTGTGGGGCCAGTAGGGGTGTTTGACCTTGTCCAGCGTGGTCTCGGGGAAGGCTTCATTAAGGTCCTGAATTGTCATCTGATCAAAGGGGATCATATTCTTAAATTTCTCCAACTAAAAAAAAAAAAAAAAACATAAAATAGAACAAAGAGAAAGAGAAAGATCAGTTGAGTTTTTAAATGTAAATTTTACTAAATAGGCCTGTGAGGTATTTTATCAACTCATGCAATTAGTCTCACCTTGTGTTCATACTGAGCAACACGGGCCTTTGATGCTTCAATGTAGGCTAATGCACTTTTGTTCTGTTGCACAAAAGTGAAAACATTTAGTAAAACAACAGCAAATCATATGACTATAGTCATTTCACATCACTACATTAAAGCTGAAATTCATGCTGTAAATGAATTTATTTGATGTAATCACTTACAGCCTCAGCTTCCTTAGCATTGATGACGCTCGTCTGAGTGTCAACTGGCTCAGGGACCTTCAGGGCATTAAACTGTGTGTAGGAGGACCATGTACAAGTTATTACTGTAATACAAACCAACAAATGCTAACACTATCTAATGAAATTAGACTGAGTTGAACACTGCTTGCCAACACAGATTCTTGTTGCAGAGCGCATCCTATGTCTTGCAGACTGGCACACAGCACATCACCCTCTAATATTCACTAGCAGTGACACATGAAAGTTATTCACCCACAGCTAATTTCATTATTTCCAAAAGTAGCCTCTACAATGAACTCAGAGATTCTTTTTACACCAAATTTATCATTAATTTGGATTCAGAAAGTCCCATATATAAATATGGCATGAGCCATTAAAGTGAAAATTGCTATGTAGTGTCAGAAGTGGGACTCTAACCCATGCCTTGCTGGGTGCATGCATAGTTCTCATGACCTGTAAGCTCACCTTCTTCTCAAACTCATCAACCATCCCTGCTTTGGCCACTACGCTCCTGTAGTAACTCCAGTCAATGGCTGCAGGAGTCTCGGGCAGGGAGGCTAGTCTGGTACGAGCAGAGAAGATGGAGTTATAGGCACAGTAAGCAAACTAAAATAAAAATCAATCATGAGATGAGTACAGAACTTAATAAGTATGAGCATGTGTTCATGAGTTGATAATGTAAACAGATGTAACAGCTAGAAAAGTGAGTGCAAAACAAATACTGTAACAAGACATTTTTTCCTGAAGACCAAGTCGTACCGAAATGCAATTTCCTGATAGGGAGGATCTAATAAGATGCATGTTGATAATACACAATTAAATGTGCCAAAGAACAGATAAGTATTCCTATGCAAGTTCAGTATTTAAGTTAAATGATGTTTAACCATTATTTGGCCCCAGAGAGCCAACGTATCAACAACAAGCAACACAATTTTTAACCTAACCTAAACTGTACACTCAATGACTCTATTCACTGTTCTCCAGCCTTAACCTACCATACCATGCATATATTAGAAAGACCCTCACTCTGACCTTAATACAAAGCATCTGTGTATCCTATCCTCACCAAGCTCCAGTTATACAGTGGCTGGACCAACTGCACCGGCAGGCAATCAGATCCAACAGCAAGGCCTGCTCAACTGTCCAACCACTGTCACTGTTCCACCAAGACTGTCAATCAGCAAAAACCTACACCAGTAATGACCCCCCCGAATCACAACCTGTATTATCAGTAGTGCCAATATAAATTCTGTGTGGGTGTTAAGAGTGAGACCAAGTCTACAGTGAAAGAGCAAAGCATAAATGTACTGGCACATAATTACTTTTGTTGTTCCCCTCAGGCATCTTAGAACAAGCGTATATCCTAGTTTAGTTCGGGCAACTGGTCAGTTTGGTCAAACTATTTTCTAAAAATGTTCAAACTGCCAATAATTAAATACTGTCTATAACCTTACAGAAACAAAACTTGCACACAATAAACTGAACACTGTAATTAAATAGATGCTTATGCATAGACAGTCTTGGAATTGTCGTTCCAGCATGTTGCACAGCTTCTCATCCAAGTGACTAACAGACACTGAAACTCTGTGAACCAGATATGTGGCCCTCACTCATGGCATAGAAGGTAACTTCACGAGACTCTTTCCACATATTACTGTCGTATTGCTTATCAGCAAAAACACAAGTCCTTCACCAAGTAGCAGTGATATATGACAGCACTACTGAAAGCAGAGTGAAATCTTCATGGCAAAAAAACTAAAGTTGGCCTAAGCTGACTTTCATGACTCTCTAAAACCTGTAGTTGTAGTATAACTAACTTGGCAGAGATGGCATCACTGCGACTCTTCAGCGCATTGTACAAGCTCCTCTGGTTGGGTGGAACATAGTCAGCAAATGCCACCCAGTCAATGGCCTTCACAGCTACACGAC